CTCACTCCTCCTAAATCCCAACCAAAATATTTCCTTTCTTTCACGCTTCATTTAGCATATATAATTTGAAAAAAAAATGTTTTGCAAGTCTTTCGATCAATATATACTTAGTATATATATAATTTTTTTCTAAGTCTTAACTAAAAAAAAAAACAAACGGTCTAAGAATAATAAAAACCATGAGATAAAATTTGCCATTGAGATCAACAGAATACAAACACTAGTCATCAAATGCTCAGCTCAACAAGACAAGATTATGAGGCTTGTCATTGAGATCTTAAGAGCCTGTCCACAGCATAAATATCATAAGAATCTGATGGTGTTCCAACTTTAACTATTTAAAAAAAAAAAAGAGTCTATTCTGAATTGATCTGGTTCTGGCATCAAGGATCAAAGTAAATATCATCTGAGATTCTGATTTCTGAAACTAGACAACAATCAAGACCATTCTAGACTTTCTAATTAGTTCAAAAGAATGTGCATAAATCAAATGATTTGTGATGCATCAGGCTAATGAAGACCCAAACTCTTTACCCAATTATTCATATAACTAAATCAGATATGAGACTGCGTAAACATGCAAGGAAAAGAGTTCTGAAATATAGTCATGATCGATTTATGAAAGAATAAAAACAGTTTTGAGAGATTTATGCCCTGCAGAGCACAATTTCCTCAATAGAAAAGTAACCTAGCCGGAGCAAAGCAAAACTGGTAAAGGAAAGAAAAGAAGAAAATTTATTACTTTGATTACCAGAGATCCTTCCTAACTTGAACTCTTATCTTTGCTTTCATTTCCAACTGCATCTTTCACCAACTCTAATGGTCTTTCATCAATTACTTCATCGATTATTCCAAACGCCTTAGCCTCTTCAGGAGTCATGAAATGATCCCTATCCATGTTCTTTGCAATCACGTCAATAGGTTGACCTGTGTGTTTGGAATACAGTTCATTTAACGCATCCCACACGCGAACAATCTGTTTTGTATGAATCGTTATATCCTTAGCCTGCCCACTATATCCTCCTGAAGGCTGATGAATCATAACGGTTGCATTTGGCAGCGACCGTCTTTGCCCCTTGGCACCTGCTGCCAAGAGGAGAGAAGCCATTGATGCAGCCTGGCCTAAACAAATCGTGCTTATCGGAGAACGAATGTACTGCATAGTATCATAAATTGCAAGACCTACATCAAAGATGAAGATAATAGATGGATCACCAAACACATGAGAAACAATATTTGAGACTGTGTCAACTCGTTACAAACTAGACACTCGTGAGAATGTGGACACTAAAATTGCCAGCACCAATAACAATTTCCACTAATTAAGCAGCCTCATTACATGAATCAAGTGACTCCTTAACTAATCTAGCTGGTTTTGGGCAGTGAGAAAGAAACCCTAGACAAATACCCAAATCCACAGAGTAACCTGTATCGACGAACAATACTAACTTCTCTACTAAAACTAGTACCCAGCAAGCAAGAAAGCATTGACAAAGAAACGGCATTTAGCAATCCGATTCCCAATCACACTACCGACGAAGCTGAATATAAGGAAAAACATGGAAAATAGAGAGCAAAGCGTACCGGCGGTGACATGGCCGCCTGGTGAATTGAGATACATATGGATCGGCTTCGAAGGATTCTCAGACTCGAGGAAGAGAAGCTGAGCGACGACGACGTGAGACGTATCGTCATTAATAGGACCGTTGATGCAGATTATACGCTCCTTGAGCAATCGAGAGAAGATGTCGTAAGCTCTCTCTCCTCTCGATGAGTGCTCAATAACCATCGGAATCAGACTGTAGCTTCTTCTCGCAGTAACGGTGGTCGTCGACATCAACGATGGTGTTGATAGCCTCTTCGCACCGGAGACAAGACCCCTCATCATCGGAACTCCCAGGATTGCTCTGCTCAGAAAGAGGGGAAAAAGAGTGAAAGCTCTCGAGAAATGAAACCCAAGCTTTTCTCGAGGTTAGGGATTTCAGATTTATTAGTACCTCTCTCTTCATCAGATTTTTTTTTTTATTATTATTGGAAAAATAATCAGACAACAATTTTTGTTCATTTACATAGCAATTAGGTGGGTTTAAACTTTAAATTAGCAAATGAGTTTAACAACATTAAACTCAATTATAAAAATTTCATTTCTTGTCAATTCCAGAAAAATAATCTCAATTTTATTTCTTACTGTCACAAGTCGCAACCCATTTACATAAATAATGCAATCCAATAATACACTAACACTTCTATTTACTCCAATAAAAAGTGGTCATTTAGTCCAAAGCCTTTTTGTTTCTTCGACCAGTTAATAAAGGCTTAGGCATTCCATCAAAAATAGAACTCGCCATGGCTGCTTGTGTGAGCAAATCAGGTGTCAGTGTCCATTTCGAGGTTGGCCACAACGATGAACCATTGCTGTTACAGTCCGGTTCTTGTAGACTAGAGGCGCTAAACGATTTCCTCACGCTTGAGAAGCTATCTCCCGCAGGAGCATCCATCAAATTGATTGGTACGGGATTGGAATTACCCATCCCGGTATCTGCTGATAAATTAGTTTTGCTTGCTGCTTTCGATCTCAGAGCTAAACCTTTCCCGGCAATTGCAGAAAACCCGCCAGTCCTGCTTCTGTTCTCTTCTTTTAAAAGCAATTCTGGGGCTCGCGAAGTGAAGTCAGCTTCAGATTTTTCGCGTCTTCTTGTTGGCTTATCAGAATTCACTTCTCCTGCCTTTGAATGGTTGGAGGATTGCTTGACTTCGGCGATAACTGCATCTACCAAGCTTCTCGATTTTCTGTGGTGGTTTAAGGGAGTATTGGTGATTGGGAAGGGTGTGAGGTACTGAACATCGTCTTGGGGACACGACGATTCTTTCTTGTAAACTGCCATCTCAAAACCTTCAGAATCTCTTCGGTTTCTTGGCTTCAGTCCATAATAACCTTGCAAGGAATCCATGGCTGGAGAAACCTTCTTTTCTGAAGGCTTCAACCTCAAAGACTGGAAGGAGTCAAATACGTCTTGATGGTTGCCATTGCTTGCTGGTGATGTAGCTTTCTCAGAACCCTCATCCTCTCTGCAAGAAGATTTCATATATCAGTTAGGATTATCTTATATGTGGATGCCTTTTACTGCAAATCAGTAGACTATGATCATTCAAGACTCTACTTGATTGTCTCAATTTCCAACATTTTTGCTCATTTCTCTTACTTTGCTTTCTGTTCTTCACTCTTAAATTGATGTGACAAAATTTACAGGAAGCAGACCCATTTCTGCACAAACTGGCACGGATAGAAACTTTACAAGTTTTCGAGAAGTAGTTTCAATAGAAAACAGAATTTGAAACGTAGAATCTGCTCATTACAAGGGCCAGCTGTACCCATCGTTGTATTACTTTTTCCCTTAGTCATTAACCAACAAAGCAAACTCTCAGTCTCAGTTAGCATGTTCTTAATCTCATAGCAGCAAAACTTACAGCTTGTGTGACGTAAACAGTCGAGCTTTTGAAAAAAGAGTAAACTGGGAGAGCGTCTACAACTACTAGCAATAAGAACACATCACTGAAGATGAAAATCTAGGACACAGACTTAAGCCTTCAAATTACCATACACAAAAAAAAAAAAGTGTAAGAACAGAGGATCAAGAGGCTAAAAGTACCCATGATTCAAGGAGCCGTTAGATAAGCATGGAGAAGGAGGATGTCTCCCAGGTAATGGTATGCGGAGAGACTTGAGAGCAAACATCTGAAGATCGGTTACAAGACCATTCAGCTTCGTGATATCTGCAACCTGAAGTAACAATTTTTTAGGAACACAAGGAAAGAACAAAAATGAAATCAGAAACACAATTTGAAACTACTCCATCATCAAAAGACGAGACGAGAGATGATTTCTCTCTAACATTTGAAGTCAGCTCTAGTATCCGTTATAATCAAAGCACAAGCATTTACAATCGAAGCTAATTTCGCGTTCAATACAAAAATCTCCAGCAAAAAAACAGAGAAACTATACCTCAACGCCATACCTTATGGCAATTCCGGCGAGAGTATCGAACTTGGAGACACGATGTTCGATATAGCCAACGCCGGTAGTGTAGGAGCAATTCAGGGAGACGGGAGAAGTCGACGACGGAGGAGACGAGGTTGGTGAAGAGATACGGAGGATTCTGGTAGGAGATGACCGGGAAGGACTCCAATCGCGGCACCTTTCCGATCGATTGACGAATCGGTAGCCATTATTATTATTATCAAAACGGAATTTTCTGTTGCTATATTCAAGAGTTCCATTGCAGATAGAAATCCGCCTACCTCGATCCGTAAGCATTGCTCTATACAATCTAACAATCTATTCTAAAACTAGATCTTATCAGAATTCACGGATTCCGGCAAAATCGTAGAGGAAAAAGGGGCAAAAAAAGAGAAGAGAAACGAGGGGGAGACGGTGAGAGAGATTGAGAAAACTCGTGGAGTCAAGGGAAGAAATTTCTCGTAGGTTCGATGTAACTTTTTCTGGCCGGATTTTCCGGGAAAAACGAACGAGAGATCTCTTCCCTCTCTCGTCGCCACCGGAGCGACACAGGATATATTGAATATC